AGCATGTCAAGTCGACAAGATGGCAGTAGCATGTCAAGTCGACAAGATGGCAGTAGCATGTCAAGTCGACAAGATGGCAGTAGCATGTCAAGTCGACAAGATGGCAGTAGCATGTCAAGTCGACAAGATGGCAGTAGCATGTCAAGTCGACAAGATGGCAGTAGCATGTCAAGTCGACAAAATGGCAGATTGTTGGTGCTTGATATTTTCTCCATTTACAATTAAACTTTTTAAGAGGATGTAAGCAAGGTGGGCCTATTGATTATTTACATGTTTCAAAATATGTTCATTTATTGTTTGGTCAAATTGAATTGTATCACAATAGAAGGGGTGGTAGCACTAAGTGAATTGTCACAACTTATAGAGGGTATGGTAGCACTAAGTGAATTGTCACAACTTATAGAGGGGATGGTAGCACTAAGTCAATTGTCACAACTTATAGAGGGAATGGAAAGCACTAAGTGAATTGTATCACAATTTATAGAGGGGATGGTAGCACTAAGTGAATTGAATCACAACTTATAGAGGGAATTGTAGCACTAAATGAATGGAATCACAACTTATAGAAGGGATGGTATCACTAAGTGAATTGAATCACAACTTATAGAGGGGATGGTAGCACTAAGTGAATTGAATCACAACTTATAGAAGGGATGGTAGCACTAAGTGAATTGAATCACAACTTATAGAGGGGATGGTAGCACTAAGTGAATTGAATCACAACTTATAGAGGGAATTGTAGCACTAAATGAATGGAATCACAACTTATAGAAGGGATGGTATCACTAAGTGAATTGAATCACAACTTATAGAGGGGATGGTAGCACTAAGTGAATTGAATCACAACTTATAGAGGGGATGGTAGCACTAAGGGAATTTAATCACATCTTATAGAGGGGATGGTAGCACTAAGTGAATATCATCATAACTTATAGAGGGTATGGTAGCACAAAGTGAATTGAATCACAACTTATAGAAGGGATGGTAGCAATAAATGAATTGAATCACAACGGATAGAGGGGATTGTAGCACTAAGTGAATTGAATCACAACTTATAGAATGGGCGGTAGCACTAAGTGAATTGAATCACAACTTATAGAGGGGATGGTAGCACTAAATGAATTGAATCACAACTTATAGAGGGGATTGTAGCACTAAGTGAATTGAATCACAACTTATAGAATGGGCGCTAGCACTAAACGAATTGAATCACAGCTTATAGAGGGGACGGCAGCACTAAATTATAATTAGGTTCTAACACGTTAGAACGAGGGAAACAAATAAAAAGGATGTCAAAAATAAATGAACAATCACAGAAGAAAATAACAGCGGGAACAAATCCAATGGAGCAGATGTCAGAAGTGGATGATTATAGAGAAGTAAATGTCCGATTGAGAGAAGATAGACGTCAGAATTGGGTGACCATATTGTAGAAAATGCCAAAGCTGAACTGTCGTATACTAATATTAGAATATATCAGAGCTGAACTGTCCTATACAAATATTAGAATATATCAGAGCTGAAGTTTCGTAAACAAAGAATTGAGAAAATCAAAGGAAAAATATGCCATAATTGAGTTTTCATATATTAGAGAAAGTCATAAGAGTATTGGGCACTTCCAGTAACACGGCTTATTAAGGCGAGTCATTTCCAGTAACATGGCTTACTAAAGCGAGTCATTCCTGTAACATGGCTTTAATTATTAAGGCAAGTCATTCCAGTAACTTGATTCTACGTATATTATATTATGCCTCACCAGCCTTAGCTATAGTCAATCAACTACATCCACCATCACAATCAACATCCATTTATTTCTAGCTAATCAACTACATCTACCATCACAATCAGCACTCATTTATATCTAGCCAATCAAAACTTCCTGCATTTCTATCATGTTTGAGTTTGTTTCATTTATATTACTATTCCTGGCACGTATTCTTCTAAAACACACCGGTTGGAGATGTTCAATTAAATCATTTCTATCTCTTAAAGCACCACGTATTTGTCTATAGATTCCAATACCATTGTAAATTAATGCATTACATACGGCGTTTAACAACGTTACTACAATCACTAACCACGCGTAGACGTTAGGACTCACTTCATAATCACCAACTAGCGATAAAATGCCGAAGATGGATACGTGGCACCAGCTAATGACATGTCGCATGGCGACACGCAGAAGCTGTCGACGGACTCTCGTGTCATCGCGTCTTCTCCTTGCACTCCTATAACCTCTGTGACATGTGGAAAGAATAAATATGGTGAGCTGACCAGAGATTATTAAAAGAAAAATTAAAGAATTTCAATAAGGAAAAAACTCCCAGGGAATATGATCCCCCTGAACGCCGGTGTCTAGTTGTGAATGTCAACGCCAAACATAAACCGTTAGAGGAATGCAGCTGCCACTCTTGGGGCAGGTGAGGCTGCCACTCTTGGGTCAGGTGAGGAACTAATGCTGTTATGAAACATAAACACCAAGGTACTGCAACCGTCACCATCAAAATATTTTTTCCCCCAAAAATGTCTGCCGAAAGGGTAACGGGTAATTCAATACCTGTCCAATGTTTTCCAACAAACGATTATGTTGGAAACTAAGAAGAAAAATGTAGCCAGAATCCCGGTAGAGGCACAAACAGGGCTATGACGCCAGACTACGTCAGACAAGGCGTAGCTGTGTCGTTAGTAGGCTATACGTCGACAGAAGAAATAATGAGCAAGTAGAAGCATGAGAAGATTGGCTACGCACAGGCTGGCGACCAGAATTCCGTAGTTCCTAATGTGATTGACAGAATCGAAACAAATTCGATAAACTGCAACGATCGTGTTGCTAGAAAAGGAAAACATGGCCACCAGCCATAAAAGGTACGTTTTGATAGTGTCAGCCAGGAGGTCGTCATAGGAGGAGATACTGTCACCATGGGCCTGGCCTACATTTTCAGGTATCTCTGGCCCTATAAGATGAGGACAACACATTAGATGACTGTCTGTAACAAATGAATCGTTTATCTGAAGGTGACGAAGTTGATTTACGACATCTGATTCTTGGAAAGGTGTCCCTTCTATATTTAAATACTGCAGAACGGTTATTTTGTGCAAAAAGTCAAAGTTGTGAATTCTGGTGTTCTCTAAGTTAAGATAATTTAGAGAGTGGTAAAATTTTTCAAACAATTGTAAATCAAGAAATGAAATTCCTTTATGAGAAATATCTAAAGGCATTATATTTTTAATGTGATGCATACATATTCTAATTTTATAAGTTCTAAATTGTGAGATAAATTTAGAAATTGTACCTAAATAGGTTGCACCCACTTCGGGACCCGAGCTGTGGATAAGCGCTGGATACTGTCGAGCACTCACTAGTCGGGTTCCCGAAGCTAACGACTGGTGTGCTTCCAGCCAACCACGTTGTAAACAGAGACTCATCTCTCTCCCCCCTAGACAGCGACGAGGCCATGACAGCCAGTTCCTGCTCAAAACAGCAAGAAAACAGTCCAGAACTGCTCATTCCTACCAAAGACAATCAGGGACTGGAACAAGCTCCTCCTTTGTCAATGTGAAGTCAGGGGTCCCCCCAGGGATCAGTCCTGGGCCCCTGTTTGTTCCTAGCATACATTAATGACCTACCGGAGAAACTGACATCACAAGCAAGACTGTTCGCAGATGACACAGTAGTGTATAGGACGATCGCCAACAGATCTGACCAGGACCAGCTACAACAGGATCTCAATCTGTTAGCTGAGTGGGAGATGAGCTGGGACATGGAATTTCACCCTGCCAAGTGCCAGACACTATCAATCTCTAGAAGTTGTACTCCTCTACACTACCAATACAAACTGCACGGCCATATTCTTGAGCAAGTTTCCTCCGTAAAGTACCTGGGTGTTACCATTCAAAGAGAGGTCCGCTGGGACGAGCATATTAACAATGTATGTAACCAAGCAAACCAAGCCTTGGGGTTCTTAAGGCGAAATCTAAAGATTGGCAACTCCTGTGTGAAAGAAAGAGCATATAAAGCCTTTATCCGTCCGATTTTAGATTATGCATCTTCAGTCTGGGACCCATTTACCCAGAAGAGCATTGACAGGTTGGAGGCGGTCCAGCGACGAGCAGCACGCTTTGTCCTAAACCGCTACAGGAATACCTCTAGTGTTGGCAGCATGCTAGAAACACTAGGCTGGTCACCATTGGAGAAACGACGACGACAATCCAGGCTCTCCATGATGTACAAGATAAATAATGGGCTGGTCCACTGTTCCAGTATTAAACAGAAACTCGTCCCTCTCCCCCATAGACAGCGACGAGGCCATGACAGGCAATTCAGGCTCATACCAGCAAGAAGCCTCATTAGGAGCTGCTCATTCCTGCCCAAGACAATTAGGGACTGGAACCATCTTTAAAAAGGAACAGTTGAGGCGACAACACTAGACACATTTGTGTCTATTGCCTCAAGCCTTCAAACTCCTAGTGCATAATTTCCTCATCACCACCAGTAACAGAAACATTGCAAATCCCATCTACATGCATAGGAGCCAAAATGATCAATAAATTGATCGTGGGCCCTTAAGATATAGAAGAAGAAGAAGAAGCTTCCAAAAGGAACAGTTGAGGTGACATTACTTGACACATTTGTGTATATTGCCTCAAGCATTCCAACCCCCATACCCTCGCTGAGTAGCCCTTGCAGCCAGTGAAATATCCTCTTCAATACCAGGCACAGAAGCATTGCAAATCCCCTCTACTTTATTACATAGGAGCCAGAATGATCAATACCTTGATCGTGGGCCCTTAATATATTAAAGAAGAAGAAGTGTGTTGTGTATTCTGAATGTTTTGTGATTTTCATGAATGAGGGGTGGCAAAGTCTAGGACCGCCCTGTGCGTTACAAAGTTTAGATACTTCACCTGATATGAAGGAAAGCCCGAGAAACCTCCGTCGGCACTGGATCTTCTCGTTATTTTAACATTATGTTGGCTTTTAGCTGAACCAACTTAACGGCACTCTTCAAATAAATGGGTTAATAATGCAATGTTGTGCATTAAAAAAATTCCTGGCAATACCCTGAAAAACGAAGAATTTATTTTGCAAACTCATAACTACGTACGTCGTCATAAAGTTGTTGAGTCCATGTATGGATTTTTCGTTAATTACAGAGGGCAGAGTAATTTGTTAAAGCAAGAAAAAAACTGACTGTGACTGTGCTTTGGGAAAGGAAATTTTTCGTTCTTTAAAAAAATGACATCTGCGCAGGACGAAAATGGTAAGTTACTCACTCTAGACTCTAGACTCTAGAGTTTTAATAAAACTCTATAATTATGACTCAAGTCTATTTTAAATTTTAAGTCCACTATTATTATAAATTATAAGTTATTATAAGTCTAAAGAATTAAGGACTAGACAGAAATGTAGTGAAAATTATTTTTAAAAACTAGAAAAAAAATTTTTTTTCAAGTATAGTCATAGTCATAGTAATAGTATACTTAAACAAATATACCAAAAAATATATTATATAATTATAATTGTTGACTCAACTTCTTTACTATTTCCCTTTTTTTTTTTTTTTTTTTTTTTATTTTTTTTAATTTTAATTAATTTTTTTCTTTTTTTTTTTTTTTTTTTTTTTGAGACTTTATAATTATAATGAATTTTTTAATTAATTAAAGTGATAAAGTTGATAGACTTAAGTCAAAGTGAAAGTTCGAGTTCATTTGTTGTAATTTTTCACTATTCTTTGAAATGAAGTTAGAAGTATGATCCCCTGTGGCATATACCTATAAACTATAAGTCAAAGCTAAGTAACACTATCATCATCACTGGCATCATCAACACTAATGGTCACTATCATTCGGCCAACTAAAATTCTACATATTTAATCTACTATACTACTTGACTAATCTACTTAGTTTTATACTAGTTTTGTTCTTCGCCCATCGCTTACAAAGATTACCAAGGCAATTTTCAACTTGCGTAGTGGCCTTGCCTTGCCTTGAGCTGCATTTACAACACTTATTATAAATCAGGCTTTTTTATGGGAGAAAATTAAAAATTTTGATTGGTACTTTAGCAAAGTTTTTTTAAAAGGGCTTATAATCGATAACGCTTTAGATATTTTTTCCAAGGAGTATTTCTAGATGTATGGGTGATGGGGAATGATAAGAATAATTGAATGTTATGAGCGGAACGACTAGGTTAGTCCTTAAAAAATTACGTTATTAATTTGATTAGGCCTATGAATATAATACTGTCTTAATTTATTAATACTTTAGTTAGGCCCGCAGATGCCGCAGTGGTTTAGAATTAAACTAGTTAGTACTAAATGGCATGGACTTCAACTGCTATGAGCAGGAAGGAATGTCGTTAAGGGGAAGAGATCAAGGGGGCAAAACTATGAATACTTGATTACGTCACTGGACAGTAATAAAACACTTATTTACAATTCAACTGTTTTGGTCAGAATGTCTGATTTCTACCTTGCTTTATAAATTCTGGGTACCAGAAAATGGCAGATTCAGACTTTATTATTCCAGGTTAATTTTATTTGCATGGTCCTACTGGGGTGCTTTACAAACTGCATCACAATGACATAAAATCCTCGTAGTTAACTATTGTTTCATAGTTATTTAGATATTTTAAAAATAAAATTATAATGAAAAAAGATTATTTAATATCTTCCTATATGTGGGTATGTTAAATTATAACTAACATTAAACTAGTTCATTTCTTTATTCCCAAAGCTCTTGTGGAGCGAGTCTTTTTGCGCATTGGATCAGCAGAGAGTGATGAACAATTACAAACAGCACTTGGTAAATTTTTAGCACCACTGTTGTTAAAGCTCAACAGTTCTGATGAAGCTGTAAGATCCAAGGTAATTATTGCATATTTTAATCCCATTTTTAGATAAATTTTGTGAGTTTTAAAAGTTAAAATCTTTATTGAGGATAGCTAATAAACATTATTTTTATACGGTCTTAAAATAATATTGAATAAGGTTATAATCATACCTCATACCTGTAGTGTCAGACTTAGGAGCTTGTATTGTATTGGAAAACTCAAATTTTTTATGTCTTGTTTTTAGGTCCTCAAACTTTTAGCCCACATCAAGACTCGCCTGAAAAGCAGAAATCAAGTCCGGCTACCACTGGATGCATTGTTAACACAGTTCCAGGATCCCAAGGCCACACCATTTATAACAGTATTGTCACTATATCAAATTTTAACACTCTTACAATTTTTGAATACTTACATACTCATGCCTTTCTACCCCGTCTGGGAATGTCTGCACTTTCTGCATAAGGCTCACTGTTGTTTTCCAAGTTTCTGCCCCATATAGTAGGACTGTTTTGACATTTGTATTAAAGATTCTGACTTTGGTTTGCAGTTTCAGCTCCTTCAACTCCCATATTTTCTTTAATAGCACGAATGCTGATCTAGCTTTTCCAATTCTAGCCCTTACGCCTGCATCGGATCCGCCATTTGTGTCTATGGTGCTGCCTAAGTAATTGAAGGACTCCACTTCTTCCAGTGCCTTTCTTGCCAGACAAATATTTTGAATATCTTGAGTTAAATAATAATTATATTTGAAAAACTTCAACATTTTCTTTGATTAAAACAGCATTTTGTCACCAGTAACTCTTACACCTTAAACTTTCTGGATCTTCAAAATGCATGAACTTTTTAAATTAGAAAATTGCAAGCAGTTTTATAAAATATATTATTTTTTAATTCTTTATTTCAGAATTTCACCATTCTGTTTATCAAGCTTGGGTATCCACGGGTAGAACCAGAGAAACAAGCTGAGCTAATCCCACTGTTGATCAACTGTTTACAAGGGAGATCAACTAGCCATCAAGATAGGTAATGCTGATGTTCATATAAAATATGCTGAAATTGACAATGAAGAATTTGCTTTATTTTTAAGACTATTTAGATTATTTCCTTTAACGTGTCATCTTCATATTATCCCCTGGGCTTTATTGCTGTTGTGAAAAATAATCCAAGGTTTTTCTTCTCATTTAAAGCATTCTACACCTACTCATTCGAGCACTCAAGCATTTGAAGCTGCCAAAAAATGAGACAGAATGTCGCACTAAATTCCAACTAGGGGATAAGCCAGGGGTTAAACATTTGTTACTCGACTACTTCATGGATGTTCTGTTGCTGACTTACAAGTAACTTCTTATATATAAATTATATACTATTTAAAGAAAGCACAAGAGATTTAATTAAATTTAATCTTTATGTAAAGGTAAGGCTGCCATTCTGTTTTTCAAAATGTGTTTACTGCAACTTCTTGCAGCATTTTAAAAAAAAATTTTTTTATTTATTCCTATGTCCCAGGTGATATTTATTAAAAAGAGGCAAATGAAATCCAATTAAAAATAAAACGCTGCCTCCTTAGAAACACTGCCTTTAAATTTAAACATTTCTTAATTTTCAAACATGCCAAGCTTCCTTATGCAAAACCCTTCACACATTAGCTTGAATGTGTGTTTTAAAATTTTGTTTATCTGAATAACCACGGTAAACCAAGTACAAATTCATGCATTGGACGTAATGAACAGAAAATAATTAATCCAGGGACAAACACAGGAAAAAAAATCATGTCACTAAGCATGAGTTCCTTACTGAAGAAGTCTGACTACTACACAAGTTTGGAATATTAATTATATTTATTCTAAGTAACCAAACTATTCACTAATAATTGCTGTGAACTGAGATAAAGTTTATTTCTACTTTCAGTTCGCATGTCTCTGTCATCCCGCCGGCCAATGATGAGATGTTAGATGGTGCTGCTCAGGTTCAGCCTCCAAGCATCCCCCCACCGCCAGGCCTCAGCCAGTCTGCTTTCAGACGCCTCACAGCCGAGAACCCATTGGTGCCCGAAGAGCTGGAAAAAGTCAAGCTTAGTATCATTACATTTTTAGGAAGTGGAGTTTTGGAAGAAGCAGAAACTGCATGTCATTTTGTGGTTGCCTCTTCAGACACCAGACACAGGTTTGACACTCAATATGGGCTGCATGTATGAGTGTATCTATAATAATAAAACTTTATCTGTATATCTTGTTAAATCCCATATATTTGAGATTTTCTGTCTGACATGTAGGAATGGATCAGTTGTTGAGGATTATATTTCAAATGGTTTAATGATATCCATATTTAATGGATTCTATCTCAAGTACATTCACTTTATGTGTGAGAATCTTTTTAAATCAAATCAATTTTTAGATAATTTCCACAGCAGAGACTAATAATTGTAATAATGGAGTAAAATAAGTCAAGGCGTGAAAAGTTTGGGAAGTTAAAAGATGATTTCATGTTATTTCCAGCAATTCAAAACAAATTTGTATTTTTGTTCTCTGATTATTATACTTAAGACACAAGTATTCACAGCAAGATGTTATTGAAAATTTCTCGCAATTAAACCAACTTATTCCATAGTTGTTATTTTTATATTAAGATATCTAGCTTGCTATGATAGTACACCAGGGTTTATATTACATTTCAGTTTCAGCATACATAAACATTGAAATTGACCTAATTATGATTATTTTTAAATATTTCAGTGTAGCAACATCTGCAGATATGGAGCTGAAAAAGATCACAGGGTAATTAATAGTTGAATAAAATTTAAAGGCATAAAAATTAACATTTATTTTCATTGTAAAGTCTAATCTATTTTAATGCATTGTGTCAACTAAACTTCCTGCATTCTCTGTTCTCTAGGAGTATAGACTGGAACTCAAAAGAAATCCTCAGTAAACTATTTTCACTCTTTCAAGGAACAGTTGTTGTCAAAGGACAGGTTTGTAAAATGAATTAGTCATCAGTCAAGTTAACGGGGCCAAATAGATTAATGAGACACAAACATAACAATATTAAATGCAACCTATCTCATTTTAAATCTTCTGTATATAAATTATTACATATTGTGTTGAATGATTTTTGTATTTCATCTCAAAGCCAAATTGTTTCTGCTCTATGTCGTTAGTTAGTATTTTTCTAACATTTTGCCTTTTTTGTTAACTTGAAAGAAATAGATATTTTTAGAAATCAAATCAATAAAGTTGAAGTGTGGTTCTCTCCTTGGCCAACTAGCAAACTGTGAAGCCAGATGACAGGCGAAGTGCCGTGAGCCCCAGAATTCGTTTGAAAATATTTCCTCTTCTTTTGAGGGCACGAGAGGCCACAAATATGTTTCCACCTTGCCTGCAGGTACGAATCTTACCTCTTTGTGATAAACTAGATGATATGACCAGATGTTTACCAGGATTATAATCGATGTCATTTTGTGATACTTTCTGCTTTTTATCGCCAAGTCTTAACATCTAACAATCAAAGTATATAACTGGATCAAATTATGATGCTTTTTATCCTAAAAAGGAAACACAAAAGGAAAAATATACGACATTGAATGGTAATTTAGGAAATAGTTAATACAATTTTTGTATAAAGGCAGATATATTTTATTAGATTTAATTTGATTTGACTTCCATAAAATCATTAAAAAAAATCCATATCACCATTTTAAGAATCGAATCAATTTAAATACACCCGGATTCTTAAAATGGTGATATGGATTTTTTTAATGATTTTATGAATCAATTTAAATACACCAGATTTTCCGTAAAATAATACAAAATTACAATCAGTGATTTTATAAACCAACATTACATGGTCACATTGGCGCCTTATTATATATAGTGTATATATATATATATATATACAAATAAATATATATATATAATATATATATTGTATATATATATATATATATATATATATATATATATATATATATATATATATTAAACTTTGACAAGCTAACATCACTTTGTTTCATTTCAGTGACCTGAAGAAAAGTTTAAGCAAGATTAAAATTTAACAAAGATTCATTTTCATTTATGACTATCTTTTCTATTTGCAGGTTGTCTTTGATTGCCTCTTTGGTGCAAATCCTAATGCTAAACTTCGAGTTATGGCTGTGGAGTTTGTTCATCATATTTGTCTCAAGTAATTTGTTGTTTTTTTTTAACTCAAACATTAAATTTGTAAACCCCACAAAGAGTGCTCATCAAAAAGGTTTCCTTCAGCATTAAATTGTGAGCATGCATGCAAAAAAAAATGTTAACTTCAAAATTAACTCTTTGTCTCTGGAATTATTTTCCTCGTGCTGACGGAATTATCTATTCTGCAAATTTGTTTTGCACTACTACGTTATCTCTAAACTTCTATAATTTTTTTGTTTTTCATTACAAAATGCTAGGTTTGGTATGGAATTAAAGGGGAATGTATGCTCTTTACAGACAATACAGACTTAGGTTTAAATTTTAATATACAAATGTGATTTTTATTTAAGGATGATAAAAAAACTCACCAATTGTTCGCAAAATGCTCATTCAAAGTCACAAAAAGAGAAATTTATAATCAAAAGTGCAACGAAAATGTTTTTTTATGAACTATATCCCTATGTGCATTACAAATAATAAAGATCACATCAAAAAAAAAAGAAGAAAAAACTTAAACACCAGAGCACATTATTCAATGTCAAAGCCACAAAAAAATGTCCAAAAAAACCTCCAACTCTTTCCAATGAAAACAATTAGTTGCTACTAGAAAATATTTGCACTATGTCCGTGTGTTTATTAACATTTATTATGGTAAATGGAAAATTGACCATAAATTTGTCATATCTTTTCATCTGTTTTTAGCTATGGTAAGCCTGAAAACAATCCATATGGATGTGCTTATTTGACTCCCAGCCAGCACAAACATATACAGTTCACTGTGTTCTACGATGTTTGCAAACTCTGTTCTTTCTGGAGTTAATAAGCACATGTTTTACTTTGATAAGTCTCTAAATGGCACAGGGACGTCCACAGCCTGGTCTGGAATTTCCGAATGTTTCCCCCTCTGGAATAATGGTCGCAGCATGTTCTGTTAATCTGTGCACAAGTTGTAGCTTGAAATTTCTGAGGGTTATTTTTCTAGATTTTCTCTGATCTTTTGACCTTGTCAGTTTATAAGGCCACATTTTACACTGATTTTCTGTAGCATGCAGAGAAAATTGATACAAGGCTGCAAATCATTCTCTCTGAAACATTTTCACATACTAGGGCGTATACATCCCATTGACCAATAGTAGTGAACAAATGGACAAGAGTTCATCCCTATCGTTACTGCTAGAAATTGCATAGGTCTCATAATAGGTTTCCAGTCTCTAAAAATAGATCTCTTGCATGTTGGGGTGTTGATTTTAATTCTGTAGGAAGCGTACTCATTTATTGAGAGCTCAAGCTTGTGAAAAATATGTATGTCTGGCAAAGTAAAATAAAACAGAACAGTTCATTTGACTTACTAGTCACAAGCTCCAAATTTACACCTACATTTTTCAAAGGTAAAAATCTGAAATTGCACTCAGTTTTATTATCCAAGATCAGCAGCTTTCCAATTAGAATCTGCATTATTGATAGCAAGAACAGTATTAGCATTTAAGCTGGGGGCCGGGGTGGTTGTTCATCAGCTGATGTATTATCAATTTCATTTTTATTATTACTTTCCGTACTACTACTAGGATTAAACCATTCATCAGAGTCATCCTCTGGATCCAAAATCATAAAATCACTATCTGAATCGTCATCAGTGTAATATTTTCTACCTTTATTGGATCAATCGCCAGATGGGCCTGGTCATAGCAAACAAAAATTAAAAAGAAAATAAAAACAATCGCTTTAAACACTTTGTTCTCTTTAAAAGCTTGTACGAAAGAAAATCCGGATGTTTATCAAAGCGAAATCATTCTGGATTTGATTAAAAGTATTTTAAAACAAGAAGCTAAGAAAAGAAACACAACGAACTGGTTTTTATGGATCAACAATGCCATTGTCGATCCAACTGAAATTTCATTTAAAATCAATTATGGAAGCTTTGATCCGGAGAGATAAAGTTAAATTGATTGTGAGCATGCACATAAAACATGTTTACTTTTACAATTCAGGAATGAGTTTTAGATATCAAAATAATGGTAACTTTTTTTATAAAGGTATTGTTGATGTTGATACACCAGAAAGAAAAATCTACCATATTTTCCGGCGTATAAGACGACTTTTTAACCCATGAAAATCTTTTCAAAAGTCAGGGGTCGTCTTATAAGCCGGGGGTCGTCTTAGAAAGCTGATGTACAGCCCAAACCCTAGATTTTAACAGGAAAAGTAGGGGGTTGTCTTATACGCCCAATCATCTTATACGCCGGAAAATACGTTAATTCAGATCTTATCAAGTGTTATTTTTTTATAAATCAATATACGACATAGGCAAATAGAAGGTATAACTATTGACCTTTTTGAGTTGGTGAACACATCATTTGGGAATTAAGGTAGTGCCTCTCAATGTCTTCCTTTTATTCTTGTTGCAGCTGTGATGAGAGTAAATTTGCCATGTTTGATGTCATTCTGCTCAATGGAATGCTGAAAATCATCCAAGAAGCAAAAGAAGTAGGACTTTTTAGTAAAATTACTGAATTAAGAAATAAAAAATCAAATGATACTAGAAGTGATTGTTAACTATTACCTATTAAAATGTGCTATATCAGGCTCCCAGTTAAAAAGGAGAATTATTATGTGCATCACACACCCTGTTTGAAAAAATAATATAATTATGCAGATTTGTGTATATAAAACTAAATGTGTGATTTTCATAAATAATGTGACAGTTAATATTCACGCAGTACTGCATTCTCATACAATCTGACATCAGTTAATAATGGTCACATACATTCTCATGCACATGATCTGTCATCAGTTATTAATGTTCTGTGTGTGTATTTTGTAACCCTCCACATGTTGCAGAATCAGAAAATAGGAAAGCATATTTTATACAAGGCAAGTTTAGCATGGGCATTGTCCCAAGGTTAAGAGACAATTCTCACCTGTTTAGGTGCATGGTTCTTAGTTAGCTCTGCGACCACAGTCTTATTTACAATACTGAAACCTCCTAGAGTAGTTTTTATTTTTCATATCGGGAACATTTGAAATATTTTTAACCTGTGAGGGAGACCAGTGTATCACATTCTTTTATTAGTTAACCCCCGATTCCTTAGGATGTAGTTTACCATCAAATTGCATTACAATTTTCACTGTTAAATTGCATTAACTATTCAGCTCTGTACTTTTTCCTTTTCTCAATTTATTAGATCTAAATTTCCTTAAACTTAAGATAATCATTCATCCCATTCCTGTAATAATTTCTTTTACTGGACAAAAAATATTTCTCATTTTGACAAACTTTTTTAATGCTTTCCCTTAACAATCTTTGTCATAAACACTGTAACTGTAATGAAATGTAAAATGACTTTAGAGTAATGACCATCAAATAAATGGAAGAAAAGAAATGACACTGACTCTTAGTTAATAATGTGGTCCACTTAAAAATTGATTGCAGTCATCAAACTCAACCCCACCTTCCATCCACTTCTGTAAACAACTGATTTTATTTTTTTAACCCCTTCGCTACCGCAGGGTTTTTGGGCATCGACTTTTGCTGACTCAGCAATAATAATAAAAAAAAATAATTTTTTTTTAAATTAAAAAAAGGAAGGGGAAAAAACAAAGATGAAATTTTCGTATATTTCATTCTCTATCCAATTCGCTTTTTAACTTCTCTATAGATTAAGGAATAAGGAAAAATATAGCATTGAAATTTGACGTCGATGTGACATCCTTGGTACTTCAGAAAAGTTCTTTACCTTTTTTTTATGGCAGCATTGTGACGTCCTTGGTAATTGAAAGTAGGTGACCGTGGCTTCGCGTCGACGTCATTGGTAGCGAAGTGGATAATTTAGATCTTCCTTTTTGTTTGATCTTATGATTTTTTAATACCAATTTCCCAATTTTTTTTATTCGGACAGCATTGCTCTCTGTATAAACATTTAAAAAATTTATTTTAAGAAAACATGAATTGGCTGTTATATAGCCGGTTATCTCAAAATATCATCAATAAAATTAGAAAACTAAGTATTGAAAATATGTGAGTGGTAATGATTATTTTAAAATGTGTATTTTAACTTTTTTTGTTTTTTTTACCTGCAAATATAGGAATGACTAAATGTAGTTTTTATTAAAATTGTTTGTTACGCTCTCAAGCTGTTAGTATTTTCAGATTTTTTATTTACATGGATATTAATAAATTAATTTTAAAAAGTATTGTATAAATGTAATTACTCTTCAAATGTGGCAAACATGTGCTTTTTACTGTTTAATGGCATGTGTGTTATTGCTACATTTAATACTAGCAACGTTCACCGGCTGGCTACTCACACTGCTATTGGAATGCAGTTGTTGGATGACTAAGTTGTGAAAACATTGAAAGGTCATTTGACTAAAACCTGTTTCATCAGGTCTGCTGGCTGTGAAAATATGGCTCAACATTTTTTGTGTATGCTTTTGGAGGTCTTGAGTTAATTGTGTCCTAAAATATGTAATGCTTTTGGAGGTCTTAAGTTAATTGTGTCATAAAATATGTTATGCTTTTGGAGGTCTCAAGTTAATTGTGTCATAAAATATATAATGCTTTTAGAGGTCTGAAGTTAATTTGGCAAACAGTTGTTCGGCAATATTTTTATCCCTGGACTTACAGAAATTCATGATAGTTTATCTTTCCCATGGGACAAAATGCCTAGAGAGTGCCGTTATATATGATGTGAAAATCCAGTAATAAATAAATGAAGGGACTGCTTTCAAGCTATGTAAATGAATGAAATAGTGAAACGAGGTATGTGGAAGCTTGAAATAAGGTAACAGGACAAAAAACAAGGACGTTTCGGCATAAAGAAAATCCAGTAGACACCTGAATCATGAACCATTCCTTCAAAGATTTTCTTTTATTTGAACTGGATCTTGTGTCAGTTAATGTTGCACACTTTGGCTTAGCATATGATGGGCCAAATGCCACATTAGAAACTAACAGTTTACTACTTTTGTAGAATTGGTTCTTTACTGTCTTTTTATCAGTAATGAAAAGATTTTAAATTACATCAGTTAACTTTGCTACCCAACAAACGTATGTTGTAATATATCTCTTTACTTCAAAATTTCCAAATATTTCCCTTTCCCTCAAAGCACCCCAAGAAGCAGAGGTTTCTAACTATTTTCATATATTAAAGTATTTCAAAAGCTTTGAATGGTCTACATTACCAATTTGTAATTATGATATGGGTTTTTTCTACAAATATAAGACTAAATTTTAACAGTTAACTCAGGCAACTATTTTTTGTCAAATTTTGATGAGAAAATAATTTTTAATGACTTTTCTACATTATAGGATTCCAAACTAAGAAGTCTGGCATATGTAGCTGTGGGTAAGATTGCCAGACGATCCCCAAACAGACTAGCTAAAGACATTCAGGTGGTGCAGACATTTTTTGAAGCAATGTGCCAGGTAATGTTCTATGATAACTAAAAATTATAGCAGTATATTAACTCTTTCCGTGTCAATCCATGCTATATCGTCGATTTGACTGGTCACGTTTGTGCCAAGCCAAGATATTTGGTTTAAATAATTTATGTAGTTTATTTCTTTGCCTGCGGCTATCAATGCGACTTTTTATGTTCTTAAATGAAGGTTAACTCTTCCTAATTCCTTCCTGTTAAAAGTAGGGCTTGTTTACATGTGTTTTTCTAATAATAGTTCGATTTGTGTTGAAAATTTTGTAAACAATAAAGCAATGGCCATGCCTACTCCAAGCACATTAGGTGTTACCAGACCACATAGGTTGTCAAATTTGCAGGCATAAGGGCTTTTATTGAAAAATTATTGATGCTGAAACATCAGACAAAACCATGAATCATTTGAATTTTATTCAAGTGATGATTTTCAGCGTTCTGATGGGTCGGTAAATGCCCAATGAAAATAGAGGAGATAATAGTAATAGTATTACTAATAGTGGTGACAATTGACACTTTTGTAAAAATTTCAAAACATTTTAAAAATGTAAAAATACCACAGCTGTATAGAGCCTAGAGAATGGATTACAAAAACACCAAGAACAAATTTTAGTTCAAGTGGTTCAAAAGTTAATTTTTTTTTTCAAAACCACTTTGTTTCTACGGCAACAGTGAGGATTCAGATAATACTACTATTAATTTTATAAAAATGTTTATAACTCTGTCACTAAAAGGCATATTTTCAAAATGTAACATGCATTCTGATAAAAAGGATGTAATTTCTGAGGATTGAAGCAGAATAGGATGCCAGCTACACAGACTGTATGGTAGTCTGTTAATAATATACCAGCTACACAGACCGTATGGTAGTCTGTTAATAGGATGCCAGCTACACAGACCGTATGGTAGTCTGGTAATAGGATGCCAGCTACACAGACCGTATGGTAGTCTGTTAATAGGATACCAGCTACACAGACCGTATGGTAGTCTGTTAATAGGATGCCAGCTACACAGACCGTATGGTAGTCTGTTAATAGGATGCCAGCTACACAGACCGTATGGTAGTCTGTTAATAGGATGCCAGCTACACAGACCGTATGGTAGTCTGTTAAGTTCAGATATGGTGCACATTTTTTTGTTATTAAAAAAAATGTGTCCTCATAATATTACCAGTAAAATTTAAACTATTGTTGTCATATTGTTTTATCTGTTATATATTATTATTCTCTGTCTAATTTCCTTTAATTTTATATAACATACAGCTATCTTGCTAAAAGAAATGTATTCAAAATTAATGAATAGAAAAGAGCACCCTAAAAAATTTCCATTGTCCGAATACTGGTCTGGCACAAACGTGGAAAACCCCCTGGCATGGAAAGAGTTGAAGTTGCTACATTGTCATGTTTATTTCAACCTTAAAAAGAACAGTTCATATACATGGTATATTATGGTGACTTAACAAATAGGATTGTTTCTACTGTTTAAAATACATTAAGAATTCTTCAAAATTAGTTTTAAAAAATGCATACATCTATTTTTAGCCTGCTCTTTTTGTTTTAATAAACAACTTGACAGTGTGATAATCCGTTTTGTAATTCTAGGAAGAAGGGGAAACCAGAATGGCAGTCCAAGAAGCCTTGTCTATGATGGCAGAAGCTTTTTGTAACCTTGACAACACAAACAAAAAGTTGATGGAAGCTTTGCTTCTTCAGAATATTGATAAGGTAAAGATAATTAAATGCATAAATTTATATAATTAATTGAAAGATTGACAGATCTGGAGTTATACAGGTTAGCAAATATTGAAAAGTTTTTAATGTTCAAAATAATTATAAATCTTTTAAAAAATCCTGATGACTCATTAGAAATTGTTTGACTATGATTTACCTTGATTTTTTTCCCATTTTAAAGGAGGAACCACAAGTTCGTGCAGTAACTGTTCACTATGCAGCAACTGTGTTTCCAAGTGATCACATTCCATCCAGATATATTCTGATGCTGGCATCTGGGGACATGTATGTGTACATTAAAGTTACTATTAGTGTTGTAGAGAACCTCATGACCATCTCTTATCTCTAACTACTATAATGTGGATGGTAACCTCGTTCACTCTTGACTCTTGTATTGCAACAATCAGGTATAACACGTTGATGGTTAGACTTCACTTTAATGATCTGCTTATATCCAAACCTCATCATACGAGAAACTACCCACCACTAGAATCCCATGGTTATTAATAGAGACTACATTCTCCCAAACCAGATCCATTACCCCGGATGCCTATTCAATGTCTCTACCCAGGGTCTGCATGGACATTCCTCAATTGACAGCAGACTAGAAAAAGTCATTACTCTAATTTATTCGTGATACCCACACTGTAAATGTCAAAGTCGACCCTTGACTCCCTATTGTCACGTTGACCAGTACCTGCACCCAGGCCGAACTCTCCAATGGGTCAGCCATCGCACTGTGGGCTCGCTCCCGTGCACCACCCAGGCCGAACCCTCAACAGTATTTATTTACAACAGTCAAAGAAATTATTCATGACCCCTCTAAAAATATGACACATTTCTTTGTTACACATCTCCTAAAAGGTAAATCATTTTTAAAAAAGTTCATCAACATTTCGTTTCTTAAGCAAAGAAGATGTAAAGTCAGAGAGTGTGAAGACTTTAAGAGGCTCACCAACATATGGATTATCAGATAAACAGAGCAGCAAACAGAAGCTGCCAGATTTTTTGGAGATGATAAACTATGTGGTTGAAAAGGCAGGTCTTTTTATTTTTATAGCTTTCAACTGTATTAAAATTGAATATAGTAATAATAATAATAATAAAGTATGTGAAATTTAACTTTTAATAAAGACAAAATAACATTATTTTCTTATGCCTCAATTCAGCTAAGCATACCTTATGCTTTAAATATTCAAAAAAATGAATGTGCAGCAAATACATTTAAATAAAATAATATTACTATAACAAAAAATTAATAATTTTCATAGGAAAACATAAAAGTGTTGTCAATAAATCATAGACTCAAAGAGTGTAAATGTGCATTGTATCTTCAGATCATACAGTGTATCTTTAGATCATACAAAGTATCTTTAGATCATACAATGCATCTTTAGATTGTACATTGTATCTTTAGATCATACAATGTATCTTTGGATCATGAAAAGTATCTTTAGGTTGTACATTGTATCTATAGATATCTTTAGATCATACAGTGTATCTGTGGATCATAAAAAGTATCTTAAGATTGTACATTGTATCTTTAGATCATATAATTTGTCTTTAGATCATGCAAAATATCTTTAGATCATATGGTGTATATTTAGATCATACAATTTCTGTGTGTGCGTCATATCTTTAATTTGAATCCTGTTTCATTATATGTTAGGGTAATCAAAGGAAAGAATCCCAGCACAGGTACACATCAGTAAATGCAAGTCTTCCATTCAATCCAGTTTCATACAATGAGGTCAGTTTAAAACCTTGAAATTTGACCTATGTTAAATGTGCCATCACATTTCACATATCATGAAGAAACTGTGTTGAAACATAAACCTTGTTGTCAATCATTTCCCTGTGATTTTCATGTTTAAAAGAATAAATTTTTATATCTTTGAGCCTTCCGGTCTATTGATTTCAAGTGAACTGCTAGAAGAAAATAATTAACCTTTTTATGCAGCAAAAATTTAATCAAGCAAGTGATATTTTACTCATTAAGAGAATTCATTCAGTTTAATTTTTATTTGTAAATCTGAAAGTCATTTACTTGGTCTATAACTTCCAATGATGACTTCTGCTTTGGTCAGATTCTGATGTACCTGCGCATGTGCCTGTCACAAACATCAGGCCTACCTGTGGATTGGCAAGTAGAAAATCTTAGTGAACAGGCTCCAGATCTAGCAGTGAAAGTTCGAGCAATGTTGGCACAGTCTGATGGGGAATCTGGTCCTGTCCATCAGTATGTTCGCATGCTTATAGAACTGCTGACTGTTTCCACAAGTAGGTCACAGTTAAATTACTGCATATGTAAAAGTCTATTGATAAAGTAATAAATTTTTCTGTAACTTAAAATAAGAATCATCAACTTAACCCATTCGTTAATTGTAAAAAAGAAAAAAAAGATGGGCAGCTTCCATTTATAATTATATAATAATTAGCTGGCTTTAGAAATAAATAAAATAATTAGAAACAAATCATTTCTAATATTTGTTGAACAATTTCTATAATTACTCATGCAAGTTATTTCAAAAGCAAATGATTATATTCAACAAATAATGGAAATTATATATTTATCTTAAGAACAGATGATTTTATTAAACAGATATAATAAATTATATATTTATTTTGAGAGCAGATGATTAGATTTAACAGTTATTTCAAAAGCAAATGATTATATTCAACAAATAATGGAAATTATATATTTATCTTAAGAACAGATGATTTTATTAAACAGATATAATAAATTATATATTTATTTTTAGAGCAGATGATTATATTTAACAAATATTAGAAATTATTTATTTCAAAATCAGATGATTATATAAAACAGATATTACACATTTCACATAAACCATCACATAAGGTCAAGTGATTTTTTTCCCTGCATATATTATTATTTAAACTAATGGAGAAGGTAATACCTGACAAAGATTACAATAAGATGTTGTAAACATCAGTAAACAATGAACATATTCTTTAACTTTAACAAAGTGGCACCTTATTCAAGGTCTTTAAACATTTAAATTTAAAGTTAAAAAAAAAAAAGGTACAGACATTGGGTAAACTAAATAATATATCTTGTGATGCAGCAACTAATTGTTCATTGTTATGTTGATTCAGGCAGTGATGCCATGTATTGCCTTCTCGCGTGTTTACAACACTTAGTTGTCACAGAAGCTTAAGAAGGTAATACCTAAAAAAGATTACAAAAATATGTTGTAAACATCAGTAAACAATGAACATATTCTTTAACTTTAACAAAGTGGCACCTTATTCAAGGTCTTTAAACATTTAAATTTAAAGTTAAAAAAAAAAAAAGGTACAGACATTGGGTAAACTAAATAATATATCTTGTGATGCAGCAACTAATTGTTCATTGTTATGTTGATGCAGGCAGTGATGCCATGTATTGCCTTCTCGCGTGTTTACAACACTTAGTTGTCACAGAAGCTTTTGGACGTTTTGCCCTTTAAGTAGTAAAGGTGTTTTTGGCCGCTCTGCTCCGTAAAGGGTTAATTAATAAAGTGACACCTTATTCAAGGCTTTTAAACATTTAAATTTAAAGTTTAAAAAAAAAAGGTACAGACATTGGGTAAAATAAATAATATATCTTGTGATGCAGCAACTAATTGTTCATTGTTATGTTGATGCAGGCAGTGATGCCATGTATTGCCTTCTGGAGATTGTTGCCATGGTTCCGGATTTGTTGGCCAGGAAGCTGTTGAATCATCTTGATTGGATCAAGGTTAGTCATTCTGGCACATCTAGTCATATCCTACAAATATTGGAAGTGGCGTTTAAAAAGGAACCCACCAAAGCTATATAAAAATCTTACTTGAGTTTGGGCTGTTACAGTGAGTGACAATAGAGTACCTAACCAAATTTGTTCACAGCCAACCTCTGGAAGAGACTGAATTGAGCATTTTTAGGAAAATCTATTTACAACTCAACAAAATACAACTTCAAGGATTTGTACAACTTTAAGGAATGGTACAACTTTAAGGATCGGTACAACTTTTAGGATTGGTACAACTTTTAGGATTGGTACAACTTTTAGGATTGGTACAACTGGAAACATATGCATCTATTGAATGTTAGTGGAATATATCATGTAAGATAAGATTCCCCTGATCTCAAAATGGGAAATTCATTTTTATGTTAATATATTATTTTACAAGGATAATCTTAGTATTGTATTTTATTTTCTAAAATAATTTTTATTTCTTGAGGTAAAATTGTTTACCTTGGTAGTCCCTTCGAAGCAGACTTTTTCCTTTTGAACACACTTATACTCACTATTAATGCATGCCAAAAATACATTTCAACACACTTATGCCATGTTGTAAAAAGGATTTGATTTTCTATTAATAAATCATGTTTCTCTCATACTAAATGCCTGTCATATTTTTGTCAGACATTACTGAGCAGCTCAAAAGATGACATCAAACAATTTGCTGCTGAGCTGTATGCCATAGTCAGCTTTAACACCAAGACTGAGTCAGAGTTCAACAATGATATCACAGCCTTTAGGGGATGTCTTGTTGATAAGGTAATACAGACACTTTGCTCAGTTCTCTTGTATGGATTGTTGTTGTGTCAAAGATATAGGAGCAGAATTGTCTGTGTCGTGTCAGCAACAAAAAAGAAAGATTTTGTTCAAGCTCTGAAACGAAGGGATCATAATAAATTGTTTTGGTTGGTTTGGGAAAAGGAAGGGGGGGGGGGTGTCAATGGTTCTGTAGTAATGTGAAATGTTAAATTATCTATCGTCAGACGCAGTTTTTAAAAGCAACATTGCACCAAAATAGGAGCTTTCGCATGATGCTTTTTCTTTTTAAATTATTTTTTTAGCCTTAAAAGAATGACCCTAATAGAAGTTATTTAAAGTTAATACAAAATTATAAAAATATCTAAATTTCTTTATTGCAGAATCCTGAGCTAGGTCTAGGAGCTCTTTTAGCACTGGGCTACTGTATTGGACTCAGGATGAAAACTCTCAGGTAAACATTGTCATTTGATTTGTATACCCTCTGAGTAAACAGTTTTAAAAATGATATGAATTGTGAGAAGATTTTATTATTCTTTGGGTGTCACTGAATTATGATATCATTGGGTGTCACTGAGTTATGGTATCATTGTGTGTCACTGAGTTATGATATCATTGGGTGTCATTGAGTTGTGATATCATTTGGTGTCACTGAGTTATGATATCTTTGGGTGTCATTGAGTTATGATATCTTTGGGTTTCACTGAGTTGTGATATCTTTGGGTGTCACTGAGTTGTGATATCTTTGGGTGTCACTGAGTTGTGATATCTTTGTGTGCCACTGAGTTATGATATCATTAGGTGTCACTGAGTTATGGTATCATTGTGTGTCACTGAGTTATGATATCATTGGGTGTCATTGAGTTGTGATATCATTTGGTGTCACTGAGTTATGATATCTTTGGGTGTCATTGAGTTATGATATCTTTGGGTTTCACTGAGTTGTGATATCTTTGGGTGTCACTGAGTTGTGATATCTTTGGGTGTCACTGAGTTATGGTATCATTGTGTGTCACTGAATTATGATATCATTGGGTGTCACTGAGTTATGGTATCATTGTGTGTCACTGAATTATGATATCATTGGGTGTCACTGAGTTATGGTATCATTGTGTGTCACTGAGTTATGATATCATTGGGTGTCACTGAGTTGTGATATCTTTGGGTGTCACTGAGTTGTGATATCTTTGTGTGCCACTGAGTTATGATATCATTAGGTGTCACTGAGTTATGGTATCATTGTGTGTCACTGAGTTATGATATCATTGGGTGTCATTGAGTTGTGATATCATTTGGTGTCACTGAGTTATGATATCTTTGGGTGTCATTGAGTTATGATATCTTTGGGTTTCACTGAGTTGTGATATCTTTGGGTGTCACTGAGTTGTGATATCTTTGGGTGTCACTGAGTTGTGATATCTTTGTGTGCCACTGAGTTATGATATCATTAGGTGTCACTGAGTTATGGTATCATTGTGTGTCACTGAGTTATGATATCATTGGGTGTCATTGAGTTGTGATATCATTTGGTGTCACTGAGTTATGATATCTTTGGGTGTCATTGAGTTATGATATCTTTGGGTTTCACTGAGTTGTGATATCTTTGGGTGTCACTGAGTTGTGATATCTTTGGGTGTCACTGAGTTGTGATATCTTTGGGTGCCACTGAGTTATGATATCATTGGGTGTCACTGAGTTATGGTATCATTGTGTGTCACTGAGTTATGATATCATTGGGTGTCATTGAGTTGTGATATCATTTGGTGTCACTGAGTTATGATATCTTTGGGTGTCATTGAGTTATGATATCTTTGGGTTTCACTGAGTTGTGATATCTTTGGGTGTCACTGAGTTGTGATATCTTTGGGTGTCACTGAGTTGTGATATCTTTGGGTGCCACTGAGTTATGATATCATTGGGTGTCACTGAGTTATGATATCATTATGTGTCATTGAGTTATGATATCATTGGGTATCACTGAGTTATGATATCATTTGGTGTCACTGAGTTATGATATCTTTGGGTGTCACTGAGTTATGATATCTTTAGGTGTCACTGAGTTGTGATATCATTTGGTGTCACTGAGTTATGATATCATTGGTGTCACTGAGTTATGATATCATTGATGTCACTGAGTTATGATATCATTGGGTATCACTGAGTTATGATATCTTTGGGTGTCATTGAGTTATTGATATCTTTGGGTGTCATTGAGTTATTGAGATCTTTGGGTGTCATTGAATTGTGATATCTTTGGGTGTCATTGAGTTATTGATATCTTAGGGTGTCACTGAATTATGATATCTTTGGGTGTCACTGAGCCAATGGCATATTTAACTATTTCAGATCTGCTGCAGTTGATGACCAGAACAAACAGCTGTTGACTGAAAGTATTCACGCTATTGGTAAATATTCTTACATTTTTAAAATCTATCCAACAGATAAAATGTTTGGGTCATATAATGAAAGTTCATGTATTTTATAAACAGTTGATATTTTATTGATTATAAGGAAACATATTCTGTTTCTTCATTTAATGCTGTGCTGTGCTTTGTTTATACAGTTGCATTACTTCACGACACAAACACTGTCAGAAAATCAACTGCTCTTTTGGCTTTGGTTGAAATTGGAAGAAATGGTGCTCTGCCGTTGTTGCCCGGTGAAGAGCCCGTAGCACGCGATGACACTATAAACAGTGAAGGCATCAATGGGGATGTGAAAAACAAAGATCAGACAAAGGATAATGCTGAGGTCAGCACAAAACTATCACTTGTCAACAAGTTGGTGGCGATAATCAAGACCAGCAATGAACTGAACAAGGTTTGTAATTAACAGCATATGGGTACATCAAGACTTAAGTGTGGTTATGTTTTCTGGTTAGAATTAACTTTAAAGGGTCATCCCAGTTATTTAATATCAAATGATATACAATATACAGCTAAATAAAAAACTGTAAAGCAATAAAGGTGTCATCCATTTATTTAATATCAAATGCTATACAGAATAAAGCTAATTAAAACACTGAAAGTGTCAAGAATCAATTTTAATGTTACAATTTTCATTGATCTCTTTTTGCATGAGTCTTGATAGTCAATGTAAGTTGCATAATACAAAGTAATGTTAGTAACACTCTATGCATAATGTCAACAAACACCAGACCAAAGAAAGAGCGGCTGCTTGTTTGGGAGACATCTGTGTTGGTGACCGGGATTTCCCACACAAGAGAAAAGCAATGGAGGATCTGATTAATGCCATCCAGGTAATGTTAAACTCCATCTGATTAATGCCATCCTGTTAATGTTAAACTCAAATTTAAAAAGCTAGACTAAAAATATCTGTTGGAAAATCCCTTTCTTTGAAAAGTATAAAATACATTTTGCACACAAACAGCCAGTCAAATTTTTATTTTTTTCGAAATTACTTGTAAAATAAAATCCTTAAATGTCTTAGAGTCATTTTTAAAAAAATGATTTAGTGATTAGATTCAAATATTTATTTTGAAGATGACATTTTGTGTAAAATATCCCTTGAGAAGAATGTATGAATGATTGTTGACATTAAAAGGATTCTTCCTTTTCATTCTAAACATGTTGTATTTTGTCTCAGTCCAAACAAGTGGAGCTTCAGTTCACCATAGGACAAGCTCTTGTCGACATGGCCATGGGACCCAGCTCCCCGAGGGCAAGGTGCATCTGGACAACTACTAAAGAAGATCATCAGGTGATCAAAGTTTGTTTACAAATTTTGTCCACTTAGAATCTCGTTAATGCCTTGAGAGAGTTGATTGTTTTAGAAATGGTTGCGTAATGTATCAAATCTTGATATGTTTAATTCCTTTTTTTAAAAATGGTTTCCAAACATGTGAATTTATTTTTCGTTTGCCTATAAGTGATAATTTAATAATTTTTTGTTTTTAGAAAAGTGTGTCTAATGATAATGATGAGGTGCCCTGGTTTCTTACACAACTGCTTTCAAAATACATCTGTCACGCCAATCCATATTTGAGACAGGTAACATGTATGCTGTGTAAATGACTGATACACATATATTTACACTCACATAAAATAGGTTTGGTCTTTTTACTAAAATTGTTATTCTTTGTGTTATTATTAAACACTTATTTTAACAAGTTATTTTTTAACAATGGCGATCACAAGTTTTTAACTTTGCTCTGTTTCTCGTCTTGTTTGCTGAGGAAGGCTCTTAGCAGAAACATTCACATCTTATTGCCCTGTATTTTGATTCACGCTTCCGCATATCTTGTTCTACTATTTCATTATTATTTGAAATAGAAAATAAAATCAAAATTGAACTTTTGAAGAAAATAAAAATTAAAAAATTAACGTGATCCATAAATGTTGTGACTAGCGCAATGTCAATAACTTTTCAGGGAGCTTGTGTCTGGCTCTTAACTCTCGTCCGCCAGTCTGGTCAACACAGTGCAATCCAAAAATCTCTCTTAGACATACAGAGAGGATTTATGAGAATGTTGTCTGAAAATGATGGTAAGTTGAAGCATAGTTTTAATTATTCCATTACATTTGTATATTTTTTATTTAAAGTGGTAGGTTTAAAAATAGTGTCACTTCTTCTATTATACTACTTTATAATTATTATTATGAAGTCCTTAAATCTGCTTTAGATATAGATAAATGTCTGTTAAAAGTTATTTGCATTTCATAAACTTGACCTGTAATTGATAATAATAAAATCTTTTTATTTTTCTTTGTTACATTAGCAACATTTTACCTTTCCAGTTTAATTGATAAGTAAGATAGATGTTAGAATATTTCCATTCCTACATCTAAAGCTTGTGTGAAAAAATGGTTAGTTGCCATTTTTATAAAAATCTTTCATTTTAAAAAAGAAATCAACAGAAAAATGATGTTTTGTATAGTCAGAAGATGCAATTTATTGATTATTTTAAGTGTAACATTTACTACCTGATTTGTTTCTATTTTAGAAATCACTCAAGATCTTGCCAGTAAAGGTCTGGGTCAGATCATGGAGGTCTGCTCTCCATCTGAGAAAGATGCTCTTGTCTCTGAACTTGTGGAAACTCTCATGACTGGGAAAAGGTTAGTAACTTGACGCTTGGTGATTTAACATTTTTTAAAATAATACTCGTTTTTTTTTCATTTAAAAAATATATCTTAATTTATCACAAGAATTATTTCACTTATCAATGATCATATTAATTACATCCAATCAAAAGAACTAACACAGATATTCACTTAGACATTTATTTAGTTTTATTCTATTGTAAACACATGAAGTTATTAGCTGAAATAATTTCATCTCCTCAGTGCTAAAAATGAAGTGAGTGCAGATACAACAGTATTCCAAAGTGGAGCTCTTGGGAAAGCACCTGACGGGTGAGACCTCTATCCACCTATTTATTCTTATGATATGCCACAAATTACCAATGTGCATTGAGATTATATTGATCAATTAGTAAACGGATCCATGTCAATGCTGTGTGGTAAGAATCGCTAACAGTAATTTTTGTTTTTTCCCAGTGCTGGCCTGTCCACTTACAAAGAATTGTGTGCCATTGCTACAGATCTCAACCAGCCTGACCTCATCTACAAGTTCATGCACTTGGCCAACCACAATGCCACATGGAATGCTCGAAAGGTTTGTACTACTTTCTAATTCAAATCTCCTTCTTTCATGTTGTCTTCTTCTTAAACTTCTGCTTAAGGAAAATATTGAAGTCTGCAGTTTTTAAAAAAAAGAAAATTTTCTCAACATAGCTCATTTGAAATATGACCAAGAGAAATTTTATTCTTCATTAGAATTTTAGGTACCAGTAATGCATGACTTGTTCATTAAGGCAAAATAAATCAATTGAATGCTGGTATGCTAGCTAATCACTATTTTATATTTCTTATAACAACAAAAAACACACTTTTTCATTTGCCTGTGATTTCATTAGCCTTTACATCTCAAGACAAGTTTCCTTAATCATATCTAGCTATTATAATAACAATTCAGGTTGTGACTGAGAGCACTAATACTTGTCATAATAATGCACATCATCTTGACAGGGGGCAGCCTTTGGATTCTCCATCATCGCAGCCCAGGCCAGTGAACAACTGGCCCCATACATGACTCAGATTGTCCCTCGTCTTTACCGCTACCAGTTTGATCCTAATCCCAAGATCCAACAAGCCATGTCCAGTATTTGGAATGCTCTGGTTCAAGACAATAAAAATACAGTAAGTAATTCAAGGATGCCATCAACGGATTATTATATCGGGAACACAAAAAGAGGAAGCCAATATACAATTATTGATTATTTTTAGTATTTATTTTTAATGGATTGCCTTTTTTTTTTTTTTTTAAGTTTTTTAAGCAATCCCTCCCTTTTAAAGTTTTCCGGCCTTTTTTTCTTTTTTTCAGAAAGGTCACATGCAAATACATGGCTCTAAATTTCTGTTGTTTGAACAGGTGGACACTTATTTAAAGCAAATTGTAGATGACCTGTTGAAAAACCTGACCAGCAATCAGTGGAGGATAAGAGAATCAAGGTAACTGCTGCTAGACACAATCTTTAGCAAATATCACATTGAACTTTGCTCAGTGCAGATTTACTGATTATTTGTTGAATTAGTTGAAAACAGTGTCCCATTTTAAACCAGTATGAATACATGATTGAGCATGCCATGATTGATTGACTTTCTTTATGTTACCATACCTCACAAGTGTGTAATAGCAAGATATTGAAGCATGAATTCAGTTTAGGACACTGATATTCACAAAAGTGTATAATGTCAAGATATTCAAGCATGAATTCAGTTGTTTACCTCTAAGACACCGATACTCATGATTAAATTGCTAATATTTCTCATGCTAGCTGCCTTGCCGTCAGTGACTTGTTAAGGGGGCGTGTCCTGGACAACATAATTGATGACATCCCTCAACTTTGGGAGACTTGTCTCAGAGTCAGAGATGATATTAAAGTAAGCTCTTTTTCAACTGACAAAAATAAATGAGTAACATAATACCAGCAGACATGCTCAATGGTGAAATGTTATTTGTCCAATGATATAAATAGAATATAAGGTAATAATTTAATTATTATAATACTAAACATAAACATTGCTGTGCATCTCAATTTTACAACCTAAAAAACAATTTTTGGTTTTAAGAATTTTTTTTGTCTGGCAAGATGAGGTGAAAGAAAAAAACTTGGGATGATTTTAGTGTCCACACCTTATGTAAAATATCAAGCAGGTTCAATACCTCTAAAGAAAAGACAGCAACAAAGAAAACATTTTTGTTTGATTTAAAAAAAATATACAGTGGATCCTCTCATAACGAGCATAATTAGTTCCAGAATCTTACTCGTTAAGCGAAACACTCGTCAAATGAAACAATTTTTCCCATACAAATCAATGTAAAATACGATAATGCGTTCCATGCTGAAAAAATACTCATTTTTCAAACATTTTTATTAACATTTATTCAAATAAAATTACTTATGAATTGTTAAGGAGTGTAACAACTTGGAATACAATTAAGGTTTCAAACAAAAAACGTAAATAAAAATATTAATTTATGACAAATAATTATTCCTTTTTAACTAGAAAACTGTCTAAAGACATTTGTTTTTGCAGACGCTTCAAAATTTGAAGAAAATGTGTCACAGCATTATCATTGAATAAATTTGTAGCATGAATAGCCACCTCCTTATTAGGGTGATGCTTCTCAAAGTACAATGCAACAGTTTCCCATGCTTTCAGCATTTCTCTTATTGTGCTAGAAGATTGTTGCTCTGCTACTTCTTCCTCAATTAATGAGCTCTCCTCCATAATTTCTTGCTGTGAAACACGATGCAACTCCATAAGCTCTTCGGTGGTCAACTCTTGACTGTGCTCTTTCACAAGCTCTTCAATATCGTTGTTGTCCACCTCGAGTCCCATGATATTGGTCAATGACACAATCTCATTAACTGTAGACTCCACAGGTACTGTTTCACAATCACATTCAACAACGCTCTCTGGCCAAAATTTTTTTCCAAACAGAAGTGAGAGAAAAAGGGACTTCCCCTTTCTGCATAACTCGTGATGCGAAATGTCGCTCGTTAAGGGAGCAACTTCTTCACATTTTTTTGCTCGTTATGCGAATTACTCGTTATGAGAGGTGCTCGTTATGAGAGGTTCCACTGTATATTTATTAAATGGAGAGAAAAAATTAATGCTACTCTTATATGCTTAAATGAGTTTAATTTTTTAACATTTATTATTTCAGCTAAGTTTTGCTCGTGTTTCTAAATCTTGAATCTTTTGTTGTTCAGTAAACATTATAACTGATCATCTTTCAATTTTACTACCTTGATGATTATTTTCAATTATGTGCAAATGAAACTCTTTTCTATGACCATATTTACTACCCATATTTGTTATAACACATCATTTTTTGTGTTATCTCAGGAGTCTGTACGTATCGCTGCAGAGTCTGCCTGCAATACTTTAAGCAAGGTAAGACATCCTTTTTTGTTTTGTATAACGCATAAATAAAAACCAGCCAGAACAGCCAAAACATTGTAAAAAGCAATTTGAAACACGAGGGAAGAAGAACTGAGAGTAAACTTTTTATAACAATCATGTTCCAGACACACATAGTAATGTTGTATCAATCAAAGAAATGGCAAGAGGAAAGCATGCAGTCTCCAGACACACATAGTAATGTTGTCAAGAGGAGAGCATGCAGTCTCCAGACTCATGTAGTAATGTTTTATCAATCAAAGAAATGTCAAGAGGAGAGCATGCAGTCTCCAGGCACACATAGTAATGTTGTCAAGGGGAGAGCATGCAGTCTCCAGACACATGAAGTAGTGTAATCTCAGTCAGTAATGTTGTATAAAACAGTAATGTTGTGTCAATCAAAAAACTGTCAGCAGCATGTTCCAGACACAATAGAAATGTTGTGTATCAATCAATCAGTCATGTTGCATCAATAAAAAAACTATCGAGAGAGAGCCTGCAGTCTCCAGACACACATAGTAATGTTGTATCAATCAAAGAACTGTCAAGAGGGGGAGCATGCAGTCTCCAGTCAATGTGATTGTTTCTATCCATAGTTAGTTGACCTGGCCTCCTATCTCTGAATCCTGAAATAATGTTTAACAGTAATTGAAATACTGTGCAATGAGTTGGATGTCAGTAAATGTATTTACTAAGGTAACATTCTTACCATGCTAGAGAATCATGGACCAACTAAATGTATATACTAAGGTAACTATATTACCATGCTAGAAAATCATGGACCAACTCATCCAACATTATTTTTATCTCTGAGTGATTCCAGATTTTTGTTTAGTTATTTTTTTTCGCAGGTGTCAGTCAAAATCTGTGATGTGAGTAATGGCAAGATGGGAGAGAAGGCCACCAAGTTGATTCTGCCATGCTTACTTCAGTGTTCACTAAACAGTACTGTGACAGAGGTCAGGAAGATTGGGTGAGTCTATGTGTTAGAGGTCAAGGGGTTTAAATAAGTTTTTGTGTCAAAGGTCATGGTTGTTAGGCAATTGAGTGAATCAGAAGTAAGTATGATTTGGGTAAGTTTATGTTCCCAGACGTTTAATCCAGCTGCCCAATATCCAAATAAAAACTTGTTTGCTGTATTCCTCTAATGCTACCCATTATCAATAAGGTTACTTCAAGCCATGACAGTTTTATTTATAATCAGTGTAAATGGTAAAACACATGTACCAAAGTCAAACATTTTTTCAAATATATCTCTCTTCTTATTGCAACTTCGTGAAATTTATAAATAACTATGTTATTAAACAATATTGAGCTACCAAAACAGTGTAGCCATTATTACTGCAAATAACATTGTGTTCCCACATACCTAGACCCTAAATGAATAACTGAGGGGAGGTTCGAGCGTCACAGGTGGCCAGCTAGCATTTGATCTCTGCTGATTCATTGAAACATCTCATTTCTGTTTGAACTCAGGCTGTCAACAATTCTCCAGATAAGTCGTGGTGCCGGCGCCCTTCTAAAGCCCAACATCCCGGTTCTAGTGACGGCATTGTTGGAGGCTGTCAGTGGCCTGGAACCGTCAGTTATAAACTATCTGAGTCTACATGTGGGCACGCAGGCAACACAAGACAAGGTAAGTCAGTATTTTAACATGTCCGTAGACACATAGGGGAGAGAACTTCTATTTTAAAGATCACATTTATTTGTCCCCTCATTAGCTTCTGCCAAAGTTGTCTGTGGTGGAGTCTACTCATTTTGTGGCAAAACGGCTTCTACCAAAGTTGTCTGTGGTGGAGTCTATGCATTTTGTGGCAAAACAGCTTCTACCAAAGTTGTCTGTGGTGTGGTCTACGCATTCTATGGCAGAACAGCGTCTTCCTAAGTTGTCTGTGGTGGAGTCTATGCATTTTATGGCAAAACAGCTTCCCCCAAGTTGTCTGGTGCATTCTATGCATTTGATGGCTGAAGAAATTGCATAACGCAGGGATTTTAGAATGTGCCATATGTGTTCTCCTTTATTAATAAGAGGTGCCTTTGCTGGTTATGCCATGTAAAGAGAATGAAGAATTGGCAGAGGTGGCAAGACATTGGAAAGCGGCCCCTGTTGCTATAATGATGTGTGTAAAAGAAACACGAGGGAAGCCAACATTGAAATTGGTGAACGGGTGTGTAAGGCTAATCACTGTTTCGGATGGGCGGACTGCATTGATTATGGAAAGCCATCAGATGCGAAATAATGCCCTTGTTAGCAAAAAGAGCAATCTAGAAAGCCAAAGAAAACTGGCCGTCAAGGTTCTCCTGTGAGAAGTATAGCCAAGACTGCCACTCTGAGATCAGCCTGAAAAGCCACTTGAGAAAGGGGAAATAACACAGACACCGCACCATCATCTCAGGAAGGCAGAAAGATGACAACAATAACAACACTGATGTTTTTTCCAGTTATTTTGTTCTGACACAAAAAATATTAATTTTCATAGTAAGAACATTTAAATTCTTTTTTACAATATTAAAATTTCTTCTTGTTATAAGTATCAAGTACTTTAACAATGACTAATGTTTTCAATTAAATATCCATTTCTCTCCACAGCTGGACAGTGCAAGAATTGCAGCTTCAAAAATGTCTCCCATGATGGAAACGGTCAACAGGGTAACAACTGACATTAATTGATGCCTATACTTTATTAACTATTTACATCAGCTGAGTCTGTTCGTGGATTGCTCTAAGTGGAAGAATGCGTGGTGAAGCAGGCCAGAGTCCTCCATGGGCTGTGGTGATATGATCTATCAAATATTTATTCATGAAATACCTCTTAAAATATATTGAAGCTTAGTTTTCCAATGGTATTTTTTTAAGCTATTTAAAAGTTGTTTTGACTATTATTGCTATGAGTGCGGACATGATGTTAACAGTTCATGTTGTTGTATTGGTAGTGTGTACAGTATGTAGACAGTACAGTTTTGACAGAGTTGATTCCAAGACTGGTTGAACTCATCAAAGGAGGAATAGGAGTCAGCACCAAGGTTGGTCCTTTATTACTAAGCTGATATTCTTTTATTCCTTTGTATTGATTGTTGGATCCCAACATGATTTATCATTCAGACATTGTAATTTAGAATAGTATATCATTTTCAGAAAATATGTTTTAGTTGCAATCAGGGTTTCTTTCAGCTATATCTCAAGAGGGGGGGGGGNCTCAACACCATGAACCAACTTCATACTCTGACCTCATGACTCACAACTCACAAAAACACTCTCACAATCAACAACCCGCGCCCCCCCCCCCCCCCCCCAAAAAAAAATAAATAAATCAGAAGTGCAGAGAGGGGGGGGGGAATTTCTGAAATAATCAGGTTGCTATGCATTTACCACTTGTTTCTTTACCACATGCTTTTTTCAATACCTACACTATAGGCTGGATGCTCCAGTTTTGTGGTATCTCTGGTTCACCAATGTCCACAAGATCTCACTCCTTACACAGGTAAATGCACTTTGGTTTTTCTGTCCACAAAATCTCATTACTTACACATATTAATACTACTGTGTTGCTTTCAATATTTGGATTAGACATTACATCACTTCTTGCCAGCAGAGCAGTGGTGTGACTTTTGGAGGCCCCCAACCACTTTTCAGTTTTGAGTCACTCTGCATTCAAAGTTGAAATTTCCTCATCACAATTAAATATCCATGTGACATCCTTGCTTGCCACCAACACAAAAGTAAGAATGTTCGCACAATTACTTTAACCACCAAACCAAAGTCATTAACAGACTCCATTGGATGCATCAAAAGCTTGTTGAATTTGGTGCAGAGCTGAATACTTGCAAAAATGCTGTAATATAATAAAGGGTATATTTACTAGAAAACTACAATAATAACAAACTTTTTTAAAAAAGTTATAATCTTCCACCATATAAGTTTGATGTTGGGATTTCTTCAATACACTCTATTTTAGTATTCAAAAATAGCAAATTCAAACCACATTGTCTTCTTTATTTCATCAGGAAAACTGTTGGCGGCATTCTTGCATGGTTTGAATGACAGAAATGCAACAATCAGAAAAGCAAATGCAACAGCCATAGGTCATTTGGTTAGGGTAAGGAAAAATGTAAAAAAAATTTCATCTGACAAAAAGTTTGTTTAAACCAGGGGTCACCAAACTTTTTTCACGACGGGCGATAACGGGGGGAAAAAATGACGAGCCCGGGCCGGATAATCATTCTGTACAATACTTGCAAGCCAGAACGAAAGCTCTGGGGAAAAGACGAAAAACTAAGTTTAGTATTCAATGTTAATCTTGGGTGAGTGGCGTGCAAAAGCAAAGACAACCAACATATTTATTTACTAAAAATGTTAGCAAAGAAGGCGACGTTAGCAAAAAGATAATTACATCAGACCTAGTTTGCAAATATTTGAATCTCACAAACTAAGTAGCAAAAAAGGTTAGCGAGATTTGTGAAACTGATGTTTGGCTTTCAAGATATCATCAATGTTTGGTTTGGTATTGCTGCATCCAATCAAAAAAATTATTTTCAAATTTCCATCAATCCCTCTCGTTCGATGAATTGACTTCACATACTTTATTTTTGAAAATGTTTGCTCACAGACATAAGTTGTTCCATGCATGCTGCAAACGTGTGCCAACTCTTCCATTATCTGAAAGTCCTGACACCACAAATAAACACGAGAATTTGTGAGAGATCATTAGACTCATCCAGAGAGTACCACATCAAGTTCCTATCTTTCTCACCTATCTCTAGCACTATGTTCTCTCCAAAGTCTTCTGTTCTGTGCATAATTAAACTTGCCGAAGGGCTCTTAGTTCCAACCGAGGCGACTATGATTATTAATTTCCCCGTATGTTTCCAACTCTCCTCTTTCTTTCACCCATTTACTAATAACATCACATTGGGAAATGGCGTCGGTGGGTCGTTGAGTGCGAGCTCATAATACCCCCCAACCCCCCGGCACACCTCCACATGGGCCAGTTCTCAGGGCCGCGTAGCTAAAATCATCAGTATGGGTTTTAACCGCCACCCAGACCTCATATCCATTAACGTCAACAAGTAATCATGTTATTGCATTACTCCCGTTGAGTTGGAAGTCATGCAAGTGACCGGGGTTTTTGGCTTCGGGAGAGCAGACCTCCCTACTAGACTGGCACGCCATGAAGAGGCAAACCCCATGGGACACCACCAAATTGCCTCGGCGGTGCAGGTCCGTGACTGAGAGGCGTTCAGTCAGATCCCCCCCAGATCACCCATTTACTACGCAGTTTGGGGTAATTATCAGACTATAATATATTAGCGGGAATATGCTTAATGGAAATTGATTCCTAAAAAAAAAAACCTCAGGTCACATGGTAGGTTTTTTAAATGATGTTATCATTTGTTAATTAAATCTTATATAAATTCATCTTGTTTTATGCTGATCTGAGTTTGAGTTTGAATCACATTAAATTTCACCAGTAACTTTATTTTTACCAATGACAGACTGTATCATGTTTATTGGGCAGTAATTTATCATCAAATATATTATAGTTTATTATTTATCCTGTGCATTGATTAGTTGCAAGAAAAAGCTAGAACCAATTAGACAACCACTCCTAACATGATTTAGTCATGTCAAAAATTTAGTTAAAATAAATCAATTATCAAGTGCTAACAATATAATAATCTTTACATAAAATAATTTTTAAATGGCTGTTTTAATGTCAGTTTTGATAATTAAACTAGGAAAACTAAATTGCAAATGTAATTTTTGTTCAAATTAATATTTTCTCTAATTTCATCAGACATTCCCCATGTTAAAATATCAAAGATTTGTCAGACCTCTCATCCAATTGTTTTAAGCTTAGATCACATATTAATTCAGCTATTAAAAAAAATCAGATTATGTGTTACAATAAACTGAACCTCTCTCCCCCTTGTTATCTTGATAAAGATTTCTTCTGTTTCCATCTGTAGGATGACACATTTCTAAGTCTGCTAAACACTAGTGGCTGGACTCCTCCTATTCTTATACTGGGACAATGTCTACAATGATTACACCTAAACTCAAACAACTGTTTCATGTAGAATTCCTAATGCAGCTTTAGTACCAATGAACTATAATAATATAATAATGTATACATTATATTCATTCATAATTTATTTATTTACTTGGCAGCATGTTTTGAACACATGTTTTCTAATGTTATCTTTCAAGGTGGCCAAAGATAGTAGTGTGGAAAAATTGATTGAAAAACTCAAGACCTGGTATCTGGAGGGTGAAGGTAAGAGATTTCTATCAAAGTCTCTTAGAGAATATTGCTATTCGGGCCATTTTATTTTTATTTTAATTTTGTCAACTTAAATGAAAATATAATTTATTTATTTAGTAAACGGTGGTGCACAAACCCTTTTATTTTGTTATTCCTGATTAGAATAATTCAATATTTTTCAGGCACCAACACCCGCCACGCCTGCAGTGTTACACTCCATGCCATCTCACATCACAGCCCAGATTGTCTACGGCGGCATGCAAATCTGGCCATGCCTCTAGCATTCTTTGCCATGCATGAAGAAGTCAAAAAGGAAGATGGAGGAAGTAAGGCTGAAGAGTCTTCGGAATGGGAGGACGTGTGGAATGAAATTACACCAGGTTTGTTTGCAGACCAAATGAGGCTAGGGCCAATAGGAAACTTTAAGTTATAACACTTCCGCAAGTAACTAACTCTTATATCGACTTACTGGGTATTGCATGTAGTAAATAATTTGGTAATGGATGCAGTTTAGTTCATATTTTCAGGATACACACAAATGGATACAACAATTAGTTTATTTAAGATGACATTTTAGTATTCTAAATGCATTCATAACGTTTCATAACAAGACACTATGGTCAGGGTGTACACAAGACTCTATGGTCAGGGTGTACACAAGACTCTATGGTCAGAATCTGTTGGAAGTATCATTTAATGCAGCCTCATTGCTAACTATTGAATGAATTAAACATTGAGAATCTATGTTTCATAAGTTAATTATCATTCATGAAGAAAGCAGATTTGTTAAATTGTGTGCACAGGGAGATTGTCTATAGTTTACTGTGACATCATGTCATGTGGATATAAAGCTGACATCATGTCCTGTGGATATAAAGCTGACATTGTGTCTTGTGGCTTACTCTGACACTGTGTCATGTGGATATAAAGTAGGGTGACCAAATCATGAACTGGAAAAAAGGACACACCCAAGGAGGGTTTGGGAGGATACCGTTTAGCTAAAGAGGGCTCCGGGGGCCTCCGCCGGAAACTGTTTATTGAAATATGCTCATTTTACTAGTTTGAGACCAAGAAATCTTTTTTTATTTACCTTCACTTTTGTAATTTAATTTAAACTCTGAGGCATATCATAAACGAAAACAATATTTTTTATGTGAATACTTATTTATTTATACATGTAAGATGTTTGGCAGGGATACTGTTGTTTACGAAGCGTCTGCAGAGTGGTGGAGGGGGGAACAGTGCAGCCATCACGCAAGCCCACATCACTACTAAGATGTTTGGCAGGGATACTGTCGTTTACGAAGCGTCTGCAGAGTGGTGGAGGGGGGAACAGTGCAGCCATCACGCAAGCCCACATCACTACTGGCACTGGCTACACAGTATTACTTGAAGTTATATTATAAATTATGAAGTTTTAGTGATTTGAAAATGTGTTTGGTTTTAGAAACGAGACATTTAGGCGTCCTGAGAGACTTTTTCAGGACACCAGGTACAATCGTGAAAAAAATGGGATAATCCTGTTTTCACGGGACGTTTGGTCACCCTAATATAAAGGAAAAAATGGTTGATGTACGAAACCATTATTTGTTGCAAAAATTGCTTATTAATAATTTATTTTGGGAAATTTAAAAAAACTGAGCCTTTCAAGACTGAAAACAATGAATGCAATGCAGTGAAAACACATTTCTAGTATTTGGGTAAAAAAGTGCATCATATTTCTTATTAAATGTCTAACTCATCTTGTATCTTATGTTTTATCTCATCTTGTATCTTATCTCATCTTGTATGACTAATTTTTATGATTGTTCCTGTTGATTACTTCACTTAGGAACTGAGGGAGGCATCCGACTGTACCTGCCAGAGATTGTGGACCTGCTGTCATCATCCATGCAGTCACCCGGATGGTCGGTTAAAGCTCAGGCCGCCAAGGCGATGGCAACTGTTGCTCAAAAGTTGGGTGGTCAGCTAGGGCAGCCGTGCTTGGGACGAATTTTGTCTGCTCTTTTAGAAGGCTTATCTGGGAGAACATGGGAAGGAAAGGTAATTATACGGACTTGTTTGTGTTGAAAGTGATGCTTTAATTAGATCATATTTGACACTTAAAATATTTGTACAAGATTTAGAAATTAAAATATAACTGTTGAAAATTGCCCAAATTCTGTACATTTCAGGAAGCTGTTTTAAAGGCTGTCTGCACTGTTTGCACGTCCTGCAGGTAAATTTGAGAAGATGATGATTAGCTTATTTTCTTTTTGTTATCTCGGTAGTACAAGTATGCAAGTAGCACGAGTAAATTAGTAGTTAATGCTAGTGGCAGATGAGGCTGATCATGATAAAAAGAAAAATTTCTCAAAAACTTGGAAAGCCAAGCTAATAAAGCTCATAACATAGCAGCTTTTAAAAAAACGTTGGATTTTTCAATTTAAAAAAAATTGCAATCTTGTGAGTTTAGCAATAAACATCAGTTATGAAAAAGCATTTTTGATTAAAACAAAAAAAAAAGTACCTTTTTGTGAGCAAACCAGGTTCCTTTAGGACATGGTAAAGTTTATTCACAAAACACATTATATTCCTATTTTATTCTTGTCTAAAAATGATTTAATTCTCTAAATGCTGTATGTAATTTTTTGTAAAAAGTTGAATAATCCCAAAACCCCCAAAAATGGATATATAGCATTTTAAAAATCAGCTCTTCAATATGTAGTTAGGTATTGTCAAGGTGGGGCCTTGCATGTTGGTCAGGAATGAGAAGGAAAAAAAAAAACTTTTTAAAAATTCTGTATAAAATTAGTTTACATAATTTCAAAAAAGAAAAAAATAACAAACAAAAAGTTTATATTTGAAGTAATTAATGTAAACTGTTTTTTTATCTCCAGAATCTTAATTTCTATGCTATTAACAAAATCCTTTTTTCATTCATATTAAATCCACAGAGCTGAAATTCTCAAATGTAATTTACAGACGGCAAATGAGCTTAGTATTGAACAAGTGGGTAGTTCTCTAAATAGTTTTTTTTTTAAAAATAAATTGTGATCAAAACATTTAAGCTACACATTTTAATTACTTATAAACCCTGAAATTATTTATGCAGAACTTTGATGTTTCATTTATTCTCACAATATCAGAAAATCAAATAAATAAAGAATTATGTTAGCGACTTGCATCTGTCAATTCTTTGTCCATCAGATTTTAACTGTTGTTTTACGAGAATGTGGCAAGGAACAACCGGTCTACAAAATGGCTGCCATGAAATGTCTAGGCGCCATCTTGGAGTTGTATCAGTTAGATCATTTCAATGCTGTGTGGCAGATGACTCAGTCTATTACTGCACAGGTTAGTCAGTCTATTAATGCACAGGTTAGTCAGTCTATTACTGCACAGGTTAGTCAATAATTGACCAAGTTTGGAGATGGAGAAATAATTCCATAGTGAACTGTAGGATTAAAATCAGTTTTTAAGCATAGTGCATATACATTATAACAAACAACCAGGAAGCACATAAATTGAAATAATAAAGATATTACATAATGCTAATTCCATTTCTTTATGACCATAAACTACAACTGAATGATAAAACACAAGGTCTGATTATGAATGACTTGAAATATGCCATTCCAGAATGGACTCTGTGGGTGGAAAAATACTGGCCGAAATTATTCTTGATATATTTTAATAGAAATAATCAAGTCAAAATTTTTGAAAACTTTTTTCTAATTCTGTATATATTTTATTTGCAGATATCAAGTACCAGTAGACCTGAGGAAGAGGAAGATTCAAGTGCCAGCCAAAAGCAAGAACTGCTGACATGCGCCTTCACATTGCTAGGAGAGGCTTGGCCACTAGACCAGAACACACAAGGTACTTATAATTATCATACCTTCAAGAGATGTCATACAGGTGACTTAAAGGACATTAAGAAAGACAAAAGGTTGTTTGTTTCTGCTTTCAATTTTTAAAGAATTGTCTACAAACTGAAATATAAAATTGTGGGCGAAATTTGACAAATATTTATTTTTTACTGTCCAGATCGAAGATTCAGCTTTTTACAAATTGTATAGGTTTTGTTTTTTAATTTTTTTCTTTCAATAAAAGTTTTAAAAAGGATACCTAAAGTTTTAAGATTACTAAACAAAAACATTCACAATCCTTTATTGCAAATATCTCTCTGTACCGTATCAAACAAGCTAACAATATTGGGGACACACAATTTTGCTTAACAGAATTATATTTCTGTGCATTTTATATTAAATCACCTTGTGTTTATAACACAGAAGTGCTATTTCCAAGTTTTATTTTAATAATCCGTTTTGGTCGAAAAATAATTACATTTTTTAAAGGATTTAAGTATTTTTACTTTATTTTTTCCAGATGCTTTTTTAAATCAGTTTGTTGATCTGCTGTGTGATGCCATTCCTCTAACCACATGGAAAGTTCAAATTATCATCTTAAAGGATGTGCAAAAACTTATTGAAAGGTAAAAAAAAAATATTGAATAGATATTCTGCCACATAATTTTAGTATTTTCCAGGAAATTATCATATAAATCTTCATATATTCTATATATAGGTTAATGAAAATCCATCTTAATAAAATCTTGTGTAAATTTCTTTTATTTATGTTTAAATCAGTCATCTCCTGGATAAAAGAGTTGACAAAATTGTAATTATCTCTTTCGTTTATAACAGGTTGGTCATTCTGAGGAAAGAAAATCTGGCCATGAACAGAGAAAAAGCAGCAGCATTAATAAATAAACTATTACTTGCTTCTTTTGCTAACATCAGTAAGAAATTATCCGTCCAGGTAAGGGGTCCTCATAACTACGGTCCACAGGCCAGATCTGGCCTGCCAGTGGCTTTTAACCCAGCCCTCCTGGCCGCCATGCTAGTAACAGTGACAAATATGGAACCAGACATTTTTCAGCACATAAACCACAAGCAGGCCAATACTAGCCGTTGAAATTCTTAAAAGTTTATGTTGAATAAATTTGTTCTTCATATGGAATACTGTATTGTTTTTCCCCTTTTTCACTACAAAAAATATATGTGCAGTGAGCATAGGAACTGGCTCATATTTTTAAAGTACTGTGCGGCTCCTAGCATTGTCTGGCGACTGTGATCGGCCTCCCTGTTTAAAAAGTTTGAGGACCCCTAATCTAGGTTTTAAGTTAATGTTATTTCAAAATGAGAAGGATGGCAATTACTTGATTTTTAAATAGTTACTCTCATTTTACAAATCAAATAATTGCCATCATTCTCAATACAATTAAATACTTATTATAAAATTATATTTTATGATAACTTATACAATGCATGCTGTGTATATCTGACGACAGAGATCAGGTGGGATTAAAATATTCAATATGTGCTTCACTTCCGTCATGTATTTTTATGTTTATTGACATTTGAACGGGGAAGCCTCCTGTCTCTACTCATAAAACACACATAAATTGGTCCTTTTATCCTTAGAAGTCTTCTTTTTTAGATTAAATAATTAGCGAATTAAGACGGAAAATATTTTTAACATTATTACATTTTTATTTTAAAAATTGAAAAGTTTTAGAAACTGCATATGAGAAGTGTTTACATCACTAATATTTTGATTGTTTTATTTAGATAACATCAAGTATGTGGCACTTAGGGTAGAGAGTATGGCTGTACTGGACTTTTTAATCAAGAGACTTTCAGGTAGTACAGAGAAGGAAATATTAACCCTTATGGTACTGACCTACTTTTTGCTTTTATTGCCTCCATACTGGCTATTATTTTGCTAACTAGTCCCTGTGGCCCAGACATTATTTAGGAATGAGCCAAAATTTGATAGGTTTGCAAATTATTTTGTAACCTTTTTGTTATAAACAATTGATAATAGCATTTGGAGAATTATCTGTTCAGAAATGGATAAGTGTGTTTAAAAAACTTAAGTGTTTTGTTCAAACTTTTCTTTGGCAATGGCACACCAGGGGATTGTGCGTAAGTCGTCATCAGCAATAGCAATATTGTAGCGCCACTGAAACAACAAATACAGATCCGCACAAAAAACTCAGTAATTGGTCGATTTTAATAATTTGAAAGGCAAATTAAAATTCGACCACTCCCCTAACGAGTAAAAATTCTGCCTGAGACAGTGGTGAAAGGTTATATCCTCGTTCTTGTGTTTATATTAGATACCCCTCTATGTTGCAAATAGACAGGCTTGGGCCACGGGGAAAACGATCGGCTGGTGAAAAAAGATGCGCTTGGGTCATAGGGAAAAAGTAGGTCACTGCAAAAAAGACGCTCCTGGTACTGTAAGGGTTAACATGCTGATAAACAGTTTGTGAACTGAACAATTTGTGAACTCATATAATATATCAACTTACATATTTTACTCATCAAATTATAAAGAAAATACTGGTAAATAAAAATTAAACAAAGGAAAATACTTAATCATTACGATCATATTATTTAAAGCACTGGATGACCATTAACAAGCTCAAATTAAATGATGATAAGACTGAGCTGCTCCCCATTGCGACCGCTCAGAAGCAGAAATCTGCACATAACACGACATCCATTACTCTCTCAGGTGTGCGTATTGAGTTAGCTCAAACAGTGCGGTACCTGGGTGTCTACCTAGATAGAAGACTAACTTTTGAAAGTCATATTAACATGCTATGCAGGGCGATTTTTCTGGAGCTGCGCAGGATTAGTCAAATCAGGCCCTTCCTAACAATTGATACAACAAAGAGGCTGATGTCTGCATTTGTGCTATCACGCATGGACTATTGCAATGCTCTCATGGTGGGTCTTCCAGCTACGCTCCTGGATAAAATTCAAATAGCACAGAATAATGCGGCTCGCATAGTTCTCCGCAAACGCAAATTCGACCATGCAAAAACACTTCTGAGAGAGTTGCATTGGCTGCCGGTGCGTGCTCGCATAGAGTACAAAATCGCAACTTTGTGCTACCGCTGCTTACATGACCTGGCGCCGTCCTATCTGAAAGAGCTGCTGACGCCTTATGTACCCAGTAGAGAGCTCCGCTCATCCGATAGTGGCAAACTCTCGACACCACGTGTTTGCCTTGAGACTTACGGAAAGCGCACTTTCGCATTTGCTGGTCCAACAATTTGGAACGCCCTTCCTGTCGATCTTAGAAACAACCAGACACTGGAGTCCTTTAAAACAGATCTAAAGACACATCTATTTCGCAAATACCTTCTGGGATGATTGTCTACCTTATTTTCCATGTGTTGCTGTGTTGCTCCGGGTTGAAATGGCTAGAAAGACTTTGATATTGTATGCTTGTAATTAGTTTTTGTAGTGTTGTGTTTGTTTTAAATGTGGTGAATTATAGATATGTTTTTTGTTGACTTTGTACCGCGCTTCGAGCCTTTGGGGATGAAGCGTGTTTTTTTAAATGAACTTTATTATTATTACTATTTAAAATATTTAGGTTTTCTAGGTAAACGTGTGTTCGGTACACAAAAATCACTCTTAAGTTACCAGTAAGACTAAAATAATTTTCTAAAATTTCAGAATGTGAACAGTTGGCCGTCATAGAAGATCAAATAATGAATCGTCTGAAAGAGGATTTAGTTCCCATTGCTGAATCCGGACCATGGGAATTAAGAGACCAGGCCAAAGTTTTAAACAGATTAATTTGTTTTCCAGACAACAGTGGGGACAGCCACCCTCAGGCGATGGAACACTGAACCATTGATGCACCCATGATACAAGAATTGTTAATCCATTTTATCTTATTTGAAGAATAGCATTCCCCACACTGCTTTGAATTATTTAGCTTACAAGTGACATCCTTCCTCTTTAGTTCAGTATTTTAAAGAAAAAATGTAGTTGTCATTCAAGCATGTTTTCATGTTTAAATCAAATACAAACATTTTTGAGTTATAAAATACACTTTTGGATTGCATTTGCATGCTCAGTGCTTTATGACTTCAGTTCTGTAGTTGACAATGTTCCTCCACTATACTTAAAATCATATTGCTTGAATTTCTTTCAGCTGAATATAAACTTTCGTATTTTAGTTACAGCAAATAAGGATTTGGAAAAGTCTGAAAAAGTTATACAATTTAAAATTTGTCTCTTTGAAAAGGTCACAAACGGCAAAAGATGATTTTTTTATTATCTAAAATAAAACTTATTTTTACCCCATGTTGGGATTAAATATTTATATAAATGAAATTAAAGTGAGATTTGAACAAGTTTTAACTGAAAATAAGGTGGGAATTATTGTGAGAGGTAATTGGAAGATCCAATAAATCAAGAAATTTTACAAGCCATGGCAATCAATGCAGTTTTGACTGTAGAGATACTTGACATTAGAAATGAACCAATTGAGAAGTAAAATAAATCTCATATTGTTTTTGTTGTTATTTATCATTCAAGGTATTTTGATGAATTTGTGGGAATTTATTCTGCCCTGATGTTTGAGTTATTAAAACTTATTTCATAGATAAATAAAAATATGTGTTTTCTTCTTGTGTTGAATGATGAATGGTGAACATATTCAAACTTGTTGCAATTTTATATTAAGATGGATGTCATTTTAATATTCTGAACATTTCCATATTTGTTAATGAAATACAAAATTTAAATTTCTTGTACTACTATTACTAGTGTTCCTCCCTAAAATAATTCATATTTTAAAACATTTCATGTATTTTATACCCGGTAGTGTAATCTTTGTAAAACTTACAACCCTTGTTATTAAATTTAACAGTATTTTTATGATAAACGCATTGTATTAATTAGGAAATATGTCCAAAGATGGTAATGTGTCTGCAAAGTCTTAATCTAAAAATGTTATAAGTTTATAAAAGATCTGCTAAGTCTTAAACTCAATTTGTTTTCCGAAATCTCCTGTCTTAGCTCTCCCTCTGACTTGTATACTGGTATATGTAACCTCTCACTCATGGCTGGGTCTAACTTTTAGGCAAATTGTTGTTGTTCGTCCATCAACATCGATTAGGACCATCTAGTCAGCCTTTTTTTTTTGGGGGAGGGGGGGGGGTACAGTGAGTTCGTAAGGTGGCTTGCTAGTCCGATCCGTGTTCGGAATAATCTCTGGCATCGCGGGCAGGGGGTGTATAATATTTATA